CCCACGTCAGCGTCGTCGTCCCCGCCGACGCCGCCGTCATGGTCGTCGTCCCCCTTCAGGGTTGGCGGCACCGGCCGTAAGGACTTCCCAATAGACAGATGTCTCCAGATCCCCCAATAATTTCTGGATGTTCGTCTTCCCCAAATCTCCCATATTTTTCCCTATTGTCCCTCGAACTGGCGATTCTTTGTGTCTGTGTGTTTTTGTTTCCCTCCTGGCTCTTGGACACCCGAATTATCTGGGGTCGCTGCGGTCTGGGGGAACTCCGGTTTGGGCCCCCGAGGCGCGAACCCCTAGCTACCCCCGACCGCCCCCAACCCCAATGATTCGGGAGGGATGGACGCCCGAATGATCCGGGGTAGCTGCTGTCCAGGGTAACTCTGATGTGGGCCCCCGAGGCGCGAACCTGCAGCTACCCCTGACCACCCCCAGCCCTGATGGCTAGGGAGAGTTGGAAGCCCGAATGATCCGGGGTAACTCCGGTTGAAGCCCGCTAGGCGCGAACCTCAGCTACCCCTGCCCACCCCCAGTCCTGATGAGTCGGAGCTCTAAGGTTCAGGGCAGGAAGCATCCCATAGCTCCGACGTGCTGGAACATCGGGACGGACGCTCATCGCAGCCTTCGGCGTCTAGAAACGCTCGCCCCGTGGGACCACCAAGAAACGGCTCGGGATGGAGCTGGCCCTTGGGGAGATGGTCGAAACTTCCGGGGGCCCCGGAGTGAAAGAATCGAGACACCAGATCTCGGGGACCCGCCTGGAAACGGTGCTGCACAGCCGATGATATTCGGCGAGGCCCTCGACACCGAAACCGCACGCTCCTGGGCTTGGGTCGGAACATCAGGGGCGATAAACGGCCGACCAGGGGCCAATGCAGCCCCCCAGAGCCCATCCCCCCTGTGGGCGCCTCTGACCCGACACCGGCTTTCGGGCCACGGCTCTGCCCTCCGGCGGCCAGCCCGGACGGTCCGGGCGCCCCCGGGACGCCCTCGGCGAGGCGCAGCTGCGGGAGAATATCCCGGGGCTGCTAAGCAGCCGCCGGGAAGCGACAAAAGCGCCCGAGAACCTCAAAGCTCGCGCTGCTGGAGAACGCCCCGAGGCTGGGCAGCCGCCGGGCACCGACGAGAATGCTCGAGAGCCTCAAGCCTCGAACCTCGGGCCCAGGGAGGCGAGCGCAGGGGGGGGGCGATGTGCCTCCCCATGGGCCTGTCGCCGCTCAACTGGAGGAACAAAGAACACTGCCCAAGCATGAATTCTCCGATGTCCGCGCGGACTTCTTGAAACGGCGGTGGACCCCCCTCCTTCTTGGACGCCCGAAATGGATGCGGACAATACGGGCACAATGCCCAACAACAAATGCTGTCCTAAACCGACAGCGACCGGTGTTGGGCAGGCGGCTCTTTGTCTTCAGTGTACAGCGTCCGCGGCGGCGCGGACAGCGAGCCCTGCTCAAAATGAACAGGAACTGCTGTTGGGCATCGTAGCTGGGGATATGTCGACCCCTATCCCAGGCTTCGTGGGGTTTCCGAATGGACCAAAAATATGGGGCCCAACCCTGGGATATGATATACGAGGAGGGGCGTCCATCCTCGATAAGGGTGCGTGCGAATGGCCCCCTGGGGATGTATCCCAGGGTTCCCCTGCTTTCTTTAGCCGCTTCGTGTTTCGTCGAAGAGCCGGGGATTGGGATAGAAACACCGCCTGGGGCCGTCATCACCTCAGCATTAGGTCGGGCGTGTCCTCCTGCAGGCGGATCTTGGACGAGAAGTTGCGCATTGGCCACGAAAGAGTGCAACCAAACGTCCAAGAGCACGCTCCGACAAACACCGCCCCCTCACTCTGTGCTTGTGCGCGTGTTTGAATTCTCCTCCTGCAGAAGAACACCGCCCGACCTGACCTCCTCAAGAAGCCCAAGGACACACAAATGAATACACACAAATAAAATGATTCCCCATATTTTCCCATATTTTCTGGGGAATCGAGGATTAATTGTGTCTGTGTGTTTTTTCCTCTCCTGACCTCCGCTCGTCCGCCCCGCTCCCCGGGCGCGCAGCACGCGCCCCGCCGAGGGGCCGGGGCGCGGCGGCGCCCCGAGGCGCCGCCAGAGAGGGGGGGGGGCGGGCGGCCCCGCGCCGGCCCCAGGAACCCGCTCGGGCCTCCCCGCCTCCCCCTCCTCCGACGGCGACGGCGACGGCGAGGTCGGGCGGACGCCCCCCCCCCCTGCGGGCGGGCGCCGGAGGGCAGGAGAGGATCAAAAGGTGCTCCAAGATGGTGGGGGACGATGGAGGACAGGAAAGGATCGAAAGGTGCTCCAAAGGACAGGAAAGGATCCAAAAGGTGCCCCTGCGGGCGGACGCTGGAGGACAGGAGAGGATCCAAAGGTGCTCCAAGATGGTGGGGGACGATATATCGAAGCATCGCCCCCGGCGCCGATCCACGGAATCCGCTCGTTCCTCCCCGCTTCCACCCCGCGCCGACGGCGACGGCGACGGAGCACGACCTCGAGGGGAACGCAGAATGGCAGAAGCATACAAACTCGAAGGTCCGCGCGGATTTCTCGGATCGGCGCTGGGCCCCCCTGGCGGCGCCACCGGCGCCGCCCCTGGCGCGTCCGCGTGCCAGGGGGGGGGGTCTGGCGCGGATCCAAGAAATCCGCGCGGACCTCCGAGTTGTTATGTTTATGTCATTCTTCGTTCCCGCAACGACCTCCGCAGCTCTCGTCTCATCTCCTCCGCCGCCGGCGACGGCGACGACGAGACGACGACGAGGCGACCGAGGGACGACGACTTCGACTGCAGCCAGCCCGCAGAGCCGGCCGCTCTGCGGTTGATCGGAAGTTTCTGCAAATCTGAAAGAAGGGGCGTGTGCTTATGGGCGACAGGAGAATGAGCGCGAGGCGGTGGTGCCGCGGGTGAGACCGACGAGGAGGGTGAGGATCAGGAGGGCGATTCTCGCGAGGGTGAGGATCAGGAGAGTGAGGATCCTCCTCATCCTCCTCCGTTTGACGTTGTGCGAACATAATGCAGCAGGATAGAACGTTAAAACTCCTTCTCCTCCCCCTCCTCCTCCCCCTCCTCCTCTTCCTCCTCCTCCTCCTCCCTCCGCCTCCTCCTCCCCTCCTCCCTCCTCCTCCCCTCCTCCCTCCTCCTCCCCTCCTCCGACCTCCGACGTCTTCCTCCCTGCTCATCCTCGTCATCGTCCTCTAGGGCCTCCCTCGTGGGCGATTTGGCGACTTTGCGAGGGTGTCTCGAGCGGGAGCCCCAGATTGGGACACGCCTGGGTCGACTTTTGCGAGGATGTCTCGAACGACAGCCCCAGACTGGAACACGCCCAGTGCGCCCTGGCGCGCCAGGACGCGCGCCGGAAGATCCCCGAAATGGTTCCTGGGGTTGCGGTGGGGCCTGCTTTCTCGCGCGCTGGGTGTCGCCTTTGAGAGGATGTCTCGAGCGATAGCCCCGGACTGGGACGCACCTGGTGCGCCACGGCGCGCCCTGGCGCGCCTTTGAGGGTCTCTTTGGGGAGGCTCGTGGAGCCAGTTTTCTGAGGATGTCATATTTGTCGCGGGATTTCCTGGATCTCCCGGAAACGGAACGAGGAAGCCCTCTGAGAGCCTCCTTGGGGAGGCTCGGGGAGCCAATTTTCTGAGGTTTGGAATTCATCGCCAGACTTCCCAGATTCCAGACTTCCCGGCAACGGAACAGCGCGGCGGTTGGCGGGCTTATTCCCTCGCGCGCGGGGGTCAGGACGAATTGAGTTCTCAAGACGAACTCCCGGACGTCCATTCCCCGTGCATGTTTCGGTTCCGTACGTGGCTTCTTTGCTCAATGAGCCAGGATGCTCCTCGATTGGGAAACCAAACGGTACCGATACCGCTACTCTCCGGACCTCTCCCAGGGTGCTTTCTGACTCGGATTTCCAGGCGAATCCAGCGGTGGCGACGACAGCCTCCCAGGAGGCCCAAGAAGGCGAAAACGGGCGAAGGGTAGCGGTATGGGTGCCTTTTCCTCCTCTGATCGAGGGTCTTCGCGTAGGAAAACATGTACACGTCCGAGCTATGCCAAGTTATACGGGTCGACTGCACTTCCTCCTCCTCCCCGCCTCCTCCTCCTCCTCCTCTCCTCTCCTCCTCCTCCTCCTCCCCCTCTTCCTCCTCCTTATCCTCCTCCTCCTCCTCCTCCTCCTCCTCCTCCTCCTCCTCCTCCTCCTCCTCCTCCATCTCCTCCTCCTCCTCCTCCTCCTCCTCCTCCTCGTGCCACTGGGTGCCTTCGGGCGTCCCAGGAAACCAGACGAGATGCAACCCGATCGTCGCCCCTGCTTGCCCGTAGTGGGCCAAGGGGAGAGAAAATTGCGCCTCGTCGCCATGTTTTCCCACCCCTTGCGGTGGCCGGGCTCGTACACCGCGTGCGCCTGGGCGGGAGGGGGATCCCCTGCGGGGGGCTCATGGTGGATCCACACCCATTCTTCCTACGGCTGGGGTCCCCCGCCCTGGCGTCCGTGGGGGTGTGCGGTCGCCCGAGGGAGTGGCGCCCCTCGGGTGGCTTATCGGGCGGCGCGCCGAGTGGCGTGTCGTTATGTGAGGGCAGTGCGCCCGCCGCCTCGAGAGTGTCAGAACGCGCGGCGCGGCAAGGTGCGTGTTGCGCGCGGCGCGCCGAGGTGCGTGTCGCCTGATCCGCTCTTGGTGGTTTAGCCAGGAAGGAGTGAACATCTCAATGATGGAGGGGCTTTTTTTGGCGGTATCACGTTTTCTCGTGTTCGGTCCTGTTCGGGCGTGGGGGCCCTAGTTCGGGGGGGCCCTAGTTCGGTCGTGCTCGCCCGATGCGAGGTCGGGCCTGTGCGTCCGCACGCAAAAGGAGGAGAAGGAGGAGGAGGAGGAGGAGGAGGAGGAGGAGGAGGAGGAGGAGGAGGAGAAGAAGGGGTAGGAGGAGGTTATAGGGGTTAGCTGTACTTCTTGCTCTGTTCCTTCGACCATACACCGCTTCGCCCCCCCCCCCCCCGGTATGGCCGGCAAATCGCCGCCCCCTAGCGCGTGCAGGGACACGGCGTCGCCGTCCCGCACCACGTCCCGCAGCGCGTCCGCGGGCCGCAGCGCGAAGCCACCCACGACGACCAGCGGCGGGTCGGCGCCTTGAAGCCGAAGCCGAAGCCAGAGCCCCTCGCGTCGTGAAAAATCACGACGGGATGCTTTTTCGCCATTTTGGCCTCTCTAGGGGCCCTCGCCGGGCCTCGGGGCCGTCGAAAAAACGCCTCGCGACGAGAAACCAGTCCCGGGGAAGGGATCGAGACCTCTGGGGGTCGCCGTTTTGACAAAAATCACGACGTCGGGAGTCTGTGAAGGGGCCCTGGGGCACACAAATAAATACACACAAATAAAATGATTCCCCATATTTTCCCATATTTTCTGGGTTTCTGTCTTCCCCCCCACTTCACATATTTTCCCATATTTTCCTGGGAGTGGACGATTGATTGTGTCTGTGTGTTTTTTTCCCTCCTGAGTCTGGGGAGCGAGGACAAATTCGGAGGAGGATCATCCGAGAACCACTGAGACCCGACGGCTCTTGAGAATGTCTCGGGCGCCGCGGCCTTCCCGGCACGCTCTGGAACGCTCTGGAACGGATGCATCCTCGTCCCAGCCCCGTCCGAGCCTTCGGGCAGCGCTTCGGACGCGGCCGCGCGCTGGAGCAGGAACGCGGCCAGCTCCGCGACCTGGCGGCGCGCCAAGGCACGCAGCGGAGGGGACGCAGGAGGACATGCCAGTGCTGTGCGCATCTGTTGGAAGCGCCCGTCCGAACCGTACAGGTGGTACAAACATGTTGTAACGTATTGTCTCCAAGCGGTATAACCAATAGGCGCCCGCCATGGAGCCTACACTGCAAAATTTCTCGGCGCGCGCGTCGCCGCTGGGGGGGGGCGACGCGAAAACAGCATAAGTATCTTTGGTTGATGCCGAGCAGAGGCGGCGGCGGACGGTGCCTTGGGCGCGATGGTCGTGGTCAGTAAGAGCTTGCTCACTGAGTGCGGTGGCAAGTCATGGGAGCCTGCTATGCCATCTTGTCCGCTCTTGCGAATCGACGCTTGTCGGCGCTAAATCGACGCTGATCGACGCTAAATCGACGCGAATCGACGCTAGTCGACGCTAACCCACGCTAAATCGGCGCTACCGTATCGACTCCCAGGCGCTAATCGACGCGAGCCGACGCTAACGACGGAATTCAGAGGGCACACCAGGCTCCCATGATCTGCTACCGAGACTGAAAGCTCGCGGCAAAAATGAAGAGGCCGCCTCCTGGTCGGGGGAGCGGGTTGGCGGGGGGAGACCCCGCCAGGCAGGGAACTAAAACCATGGAAGACCCTCCGGGCTGCTTGCCCCAAAGCCAGGCGCCTGCCACACTGCAGAAAGAGACGGAAGGAGGGTCTGTCGAGACAGCGGCGGCCCAAGCTTTCTCGTTCCTCTTCGGCCTCCTGAGGCCTCGTCTAGACGCGCAGGCAACGGCTTAAGCATCAGATGTTGACGGTCCGCGCGGAGTTCTTGGATCTGAGCCGGATGCCCCTCCCTGGCGCGCGGAGCGCGCCAGGGGCGGCGCCGGAGGCGCCGCCAGGGGGTCCCAACGCAGGTCCAAGGAATCTGCGCGAACCGTCGAAAGTTTATGTCCATGCAGCTTGTGTCTTCGATCCTCGTCGCCACGGCTGGATCCGCCTCGAACACGGGTCAGAATGGACTCCAGGGACGGACTCTGGGCAGATGCGGTGCGGGGCGAGAGGGAGGGCGGCCGCCGTCTCTCTCTCTGGACGGGGCCCGCGCACACCGGGTCGCCCCTGGTCGGCCAAGAAGAGCTCGGAGACCGAAGCCAGGATGAGGACAGATGCGAGTGAGCACAAATCGAGAACCTCTGAGATTCGGCAGCTCTGGAGGATTCGGGCGCCGAGCCCTTCTCAGAGCGTTCCGGAACGCTCCGAGACGAGTTGATCCTCGTCCTGGCTGGCCCCGTCCGACTCGTTGTGTATTGGCGGCACTTTCTTTTCCTGCCCTCTCTGGCCCTCCCGCGGCGCTCTCGTGGCCACGGCCAGGCCCGGCTCGCGCGCCTGGCCATCGGCGATCGCCGCTCGATCCAGACCGCTGCTGCTGCTGCTGCTGCTGCTGCTGCTGCTGCTGCTGCTGCTGCTGCTGCTGCTGCCCCCCCGCTGGGAGCCAGGAGGAGAGGGGCACGGATGAACAGCTCGGCGCCCGGGGCATGAGTCTTTTCCATGGCCCCACTTTGGCCCCATGTCGGCCACCTGGCCTGCAGAGGGGGGTATAGGGGGAGGGCGGGAAGGCTTCTTCGAAGCACCCCTGCTTCTCAGAAGGCGCGGGCCTCCAGATGGAAGGCCGGCAGCTTCTCAGAAGCAGGCTCCCCCTCCCCCTACCCCCTCTCCTATGTGCGTGGCCGAACCCCAGACTCCCGACGTCATGATTTTGTCCAAAGCGTCGACTCTGGAAGTCTAGACCCCTTCCCTGGGACCGCTTTCATCCTGAGTCGCTTTTTGACGGTCCCGAGGCCCGGCGAGGGCCTCCAGAGGCCGAAACTATAGAAAAACCTCCCGTCGTGATTTTTTCACCACGCGAGGGGGTCTAGATTACCCAGACGCCCAAAGAAGCGAAAAACCTCCGGTCGTGATTTCGGTCATGACCCGATGAGGCCTGGGACTCTGGTCCCGTGGAGGGATCTGGGCGTGAGCCAGGACAAGGACACAACGCCGATCGCCTGGGCTTGAAGATATGGGCTCCGAGACAGGACTGAACGTAAACGTTGAGTTTCGTTTTGTGTTCGTTTTGTCGTTCGTTTTGCTCCACCTGTTCTCCTGTACCTCCCTGAAGCGAAAAAAAACACAGCCGAAGACAAGCAAAACACCGTTGAGGTCCAGCCCTGCTCCGAGAATGGTCCCTGCGGGGGCCCAGCCGCTCCGAGCGGACCTGCTACGGCTGAAGTGGTGGTGTGAGGGGCGGGCCTCGGGAAGGGCGGGAGGCCTCGAGGAATGGGAGAGGGAGGGGGGAGAAGGATGATGATGATGAGGAGGAGGAGGAGAAGAAGGAGGAAGAGGAGGAGGGGG